AAATTTGCACATTTCCGCGAGAGTCAATCGCACAGAAAAGCATGTGCGCTCGTCCCCGGGCTGCATTCAATGAGCATGCGCTCGACGCCGTCCCAACACTGGTTGTGGCCACAGTGCCCCCCCCCTATAATCTGACTATCCCATGTCTGTGAGAGGTTGCTCGGCTATTCCTAAACTTTATCTTGAAGTGGAATGGATAGAATATGAGCCAACCTGAACGATAGTTCGACCGTCGATTTCGACGATATCTACCGTATGCAGGGACGGCGACTTGCGCGTGAATTAGTGTTAAATAAAAGTAGACTTGCACGGCATCTATCGCCCTCTCTCTTCTCTCACCCACCTGCACCTAGTGTCAAGATAGAGTCAAGAAGACCGGAGGCGAAATCGGGCGCAGGTGGCCGAATTCGCACCTAAGCGTGCCAACATGCCTCCCCCCATGTTAGGCGCGCAACCCGAATAACGCCTGCCGTACCTTGATCTGGCCCTGAGTTTGTTCAGCGCACCTATCACGCGGTACGTTTAGGGGCAGCTTTTCAATGAGAAAGACTGACAAGTTTTTTGATACATTTTCTGGTGGCCGAGGCTGTTCCCCATGTCTGCCGACTTGGTGATTGGGACAGAAGTCGAGCAAGCAGGCGCTTCGTGTGAATTCTAAGTACCAGGTTAAGTCATAAACGTAAAGTACAGGAGTCAGACATGCGAAGCAAAATCAATGTTAAGGTTTCAGTTCATCCACAGGAGTGGGAGCCAGGAAAGAAAACTTACTCGGCCGGATTTCCTGTGCGCCGAGGATGTGCCGAGCTGCAATGAAGAACTCCTTGCGCATATTGGTAACTGACGGCGGGCAGGTAACTAGGAGATTCATCATGCCTTTGACCAGGGCAGCTGAGTGCTGCTCAACAAGATCCTTAATGTGTGCGTGTGTAGATAAAAAGGAAATAGAGTAGCTTTAGGACTTAGACAATACTGTGACATTTGAGTAGTATTTACACGGGGAGAGGGTTGGGGGCGTACCTGGTAGATCTTGATGACATACGCCAGAAAGGATAGGGTTTTCACTTGCGCCGCGAGAAAATCAATAAATTTGTCCTGGCGAAAGGCTGGATCGAGGCTAAAATGCAGAAACATGTGTGTCAGCTTTGCCTGTTTCCGGCAACCAATACACACACTAATTCAAAACCTTCGAGGTCGCGAAATTATTCACAATTTATGTACAACTGGACTGTCTAGTAGTAGCTAACTGTCTTCACTGGGTCAACACCTTCCGGTAAAATGAACAGTAGTTTACTCTAACCTCTACGGTTGTCTAGGCTGTTCTGCGGTTCTGGTGACTTTCGAAGAGTTTTGGATTCCAGTAACAGTCTGGTGCTTAAAACAATCGCAAAATACTCCTTTCCATTTGGTAAAAGGCCCAAAAATTCCCCAAGGTTAACGAAGCAAACCGCCAGCTGTGCATTCTGATGTGTCCGTCTTGAAAGGAAACGCTAAGAACCCGCCCCAGGACCTGTCCCCAGCCTAAACGATGATGTTGAAACTTACTACACTAACAGCCCAGGTGTCATCTAAAAGACCCAGACACGTGTTTCGCCGGTATTCTGCCGCTGCTTGACACAGCTGCGAGGGTAGTATAGTACGTTTCAACATCAATACACACTACTACAGTCTGTCCGTTAGCAGCAGGTGTATATTTTGTAGCGGTTGACAGGCTTCAGCCCAAATATAAATTTACAATTTATAGATTTTAAATACTCTGATGTATACCGCGAACAGAAATTAATTTCTAAGGAAATTAAAAGCACTGGCAATGTCAGAGAGAAGGTAGATCCTCGTGCTTACCGTTGTTCGGGTAGTGGTTTCATATTTATGAATTCCATTATGAGAGGAATGAATTCAGAGACATCATGATGAATCTGCTGCTTGAATAGCTGATACATCAGCACCACCAAAATTGGTATTTCTTGCATAACGCGCAGAGAGAGGCAGGACTTTGGTAGAATATGATACTGGGGGAGAATTTGGGGAAAGAAAGCCAAATTACTGTTATACAATTTCCATCTGCGTCAGTCGCTTTCGTCTTAACTGGTGTTGGTGTGAAGATACCTTGCAGTAACATTTCCACGTTGAGGTCAGTTATGTTATCGACTTCGCAGTTTTCTTGTGGTCGGAAAATGTTGAAAGACTGACCCTTTAGACTGCGGTAGACTTTTTGTACAAACAAAAGAAACTTTGTAACCTTTGGAGAAGATTGTAGGTTATAAAACAAACAAAAAATGAGAACAAACATCGGACGAAAACTGTGGGCGATAAAACTTGTGCAGGTCAATGATGAGTTTTATGCAGAGAAGAACGTTTTCCTCATTTTCATGCTAAACGGGAAATATAGGGTGAAGAAAATGTGACGCACTTCAATTAGCTTAAACAGTAAGCTTATTAGAGAGGGGGCGTAGGGTTTGAAGAAATCCACATTGCGAATTTTTTGCAGGATCTCTAAGCAAATATGTCGTAGACGTTGCACCGGGGACTCTTTAATAAACTGGGGTTGGGTTTCCGTGAGAAAATGTTGGACATTGATGAAAATTTCGTAAATACAGTCCTTCAGTTCACTGTCGACTGACACGCTCTGCAAAAAAAGATGTTTTTGATGGAAATAAAAGCCACAAAATACCTCCAGTAACTCGCAAAGTTCGGTTCCGCTGTTCAATCGTTCCTCGAGGGCTGTGGGTGGTATGGAAGGAAACTAAGACGCTTACCTAATTCGCTGTTAAATAAGTTCGTGTAGGCGCCCTTTATCTTTATGAACATCGCTGATGGTGTTTCGGGGGCTAAAGAGAGATAGCAAAGCAAGTATATTATGAGGGGAAATAATTCCAACGCAGCAAAGCACAGATTAAAATTAAAACAAGCTATTTGCAGACGCCTGTCTTCGTAAAGGACAGTAATAAATTGTCCAAACAAGCACGAACAAACACAAACGAATTAGAATGGTTCCTCCTGGCTTTCTTGAGGTCACCAATTAACCATACCTCATATGAAGTCGGGTCTACGGCGGAAGGGCGCACCTTAGGGATTAATAACTTACATGTACTTTTTACGGCTGCGATCATGACTGATCTAGCCGGTCACGATTATGCCCCGAATAGTGCTTCTCCGTACGTGTTGATCTGTGGCAACAGACCTGGACAGTTTTATCCATCTACTTTTCCAACTCGAAGAACGAATGAGGATGCTCCGTTATGTAATCTTGGTGGAATACTCAACCGGGAACGGACTCCTGGCATTGCATGTTGGGATGTGCTGGCGTTTTTTGCCTCTAGTATCCAAGGGCTGATGGCGCACAGTCTTCCTTAATGCAAAATTGATGTCCGCTGCCAGTCTGAAGTTCGAATTCCTGATTCAGGCGCTCGGAAAATCCCGCAGCAAACTCATATTTCAGCCCGTACCCCGTGAAGTTTTAGAGTTACTTGTAGTTTTTTGCCCTTGCGATCAACACCAACAGCAACATGTCCGCGAAATGTGATAGGTCCATTGAGGCTAGATCGGCTCCGGTATTGCATCGGTAATGGACATACTTGTCGGGGACAGACTATTGATATGGGATTCTGGAATATGCGAACATGCCTGGACACTAGCACCCAACGCTCGACGGCGCAGTACAACGCGGATGTTTGTTGTCTGTCTGAAGCCTGAAATACGAACGCAGACGCTTGGGTCAGACAATCTCCTCGTTCAAATACCCTGAAAAATTCGCCTCTCATCCGCACCCAAAATGCCATATACTATGTGTCGGAAGGTTGCAAAAATCCAGTAACTCAGCAATCGTGATGCACTCAGCAGAAAAATCCGGTCCTATTTTACGACCCAAGCCAACAGATAAGGCGCTAGCTAGTAGTCATCACTGAAAAAATTAAATCTATGGGACAGCCAGCGACGCCGCAGTAAGTAGATCTGCAACAGAACCCTGCAGTTGTCTGCGCAGACAGCTCGAGCCAGGTACCATGGTAATTATTACTTCCGCCAACTCTAGAAGATGACGGCAAAGCCGGCTAGGGATGACTGCAAGAAATACTGGACTGAAATGGCGAGCTCCATGGAGCAGGCCGAAAACATTGGTGACAGGCGAAAACTATACCAAGGTATCCGCTAAGTTAGTGGCACAACTCTGCACTAAATGAACTTGTTGGCGACTTTAATGGCGGCTCTATTGTGGAAAACTCGAGCAAGGTTGAATGATATTGTGTGGACTTCGACCACCTCAACTCCCATACTTAACCCACCACGCCCTTGTTCAACTCTGCCTTCCAAAGGAGAAGTCGCAGACGCCATACAAAGGCTGCGTAACAACAAGGCACCTGGAGAAGATGGTGTAGCCGCTGAAATCTACAAGTTTTGTGTCGACAATCTGATGCCTTGGCTCCATGCGGCAATTGGATAAGCGTGGAGAGAAGATGCCGTTTTTCGTGACTTGTACATGTTTAGAAGAAGGGAGATAAAACAAGATGCAAGAACCACTGCGACATAATTATTATCGGCGTTGCTGCGAATAGTTTCGCCATTGCATTTTCCAGGCAATTCCAGACTAGGCGCAACCTTAGGCGAAGACAGAAGAAGTCGGATTTTGTGTTGGGCGTGGAGGTATGGGCCAGACATTCACAATGAGGTGTATTCTTAAATGCTACCAGTCACCAATAACGTCGGTCGCCTGCACTTTTTACTTTGACGTTGCGTTTGAGTCCGTCCATCATGAGGCCCAATTGTATATAATTGCACTAGATGGAATACCGGCAGAAATCATCGCGAGTTCTGGTCCGTAGCAACCTTTCAGAACCGTTCGCTTTTCGGTCTGGCGTTCGATAAGGCTGCATCCTTTCGCCGATTCTGTTCAACTGTACTGTTGACTGGATACTCGGGAAGACCCTACGTGAAGAGGACGGTGTTGAGTTTGTACTCAGACGCCAGCTGATGATGCCGCCTTGTTTGATTTATATTTTGGCTATTTACAGCCTATGGTGACACGGGTGAATGATATCGCTAGATCAGTTGGTTTATTGGGAAGAGCAAAGTATTATTGAGCTGCATCCCTGACCAGAAGTCATTTCTAGAAATTAACAGCCGTCAATTTAAAGAAGTAAACTGTTTTAAATGTCTCAGAGTGAGGCTGCTGTTGAATAGACAGTGTAAGGAGTACATTGGCTCTCTAGTTATGTGCGGGTTTTTCCAGTCTTAGAAAGTGTCAGGAGAAGTAAGAACGATAACTGGGATAGGTTTATTGTGTGTCTGACGTTTCTGATAGTTGTCTCGTCTACCCATCTTCAGAGAATGAATACTCCGGCACATGGTTCTAGTTATATGCCGCTCTTTTTCCGTGTGCGTATTTAGCTTATGGACCCAGTGCGGAACGAAAGTTCGCGTGTACCCTGTATCGATCCGGTTTGTCTTTTTTCTAATGTTGCGAATTCTGGGCTGAGAGCGTGAACGGCGAACGAATACTGGAGTTATTCGATTACCAATGCTTGAAAAACTTCCATTGAGTGAAGTCCACCCACTTCGTCGCAAATGACCGTCTGCACTCGCTGCCACGTCACAAGGATGTTTCAGGTCATTTAAGAAGGAAAACTGAGGTGGTTTTTGCACGTTCTTCGTCTTGTATCTTGCGAAGTCAATGGTGCTGCCCTTGATCCGACTCCGTTACCCACTTGGATGCGTCGAAGAGGGAGTAGACTCAAAACTCGACACATTTCGTCAGGACATGGAAGTAGTTATTGGACCTTTAGTATTCGGTCTCCGTCTTTCTATTACTTCGAAGCAACACGCATGGGAAGATACAGTCCGCGATATCACGGAGACTGGCTGGGTCAGACATGCTCGAAGGCGTGCCAAGTAAATATCATCTCAAACTGCCCAAATAAAGGATTGGTCCAAAAAGGGTTAAGGTTAAAGGAACAACTCGACAACAAATATGAGAAGGTAGTGAATAGCAAAGCATATTGATGTGGAAACGTAATATTGATTAGTAATAATCGGGGAAACAGGGGTAATATGTGCTTCTAATAGCAGCAATGAAAACTCTTTTACTCAATAGGTTAGTCTTGATTCTAACAATCCTTTATTGCCTATTAACTAGTGTTGTTGAATTCACTGCTGCGTAATGTATCTGGACGATGTGGTGACAAAATGTGTTGATGGCGAGATATACTAATGTTTCGCTACTGATGTAGTTCTTTCCCACAATGACTTCTCAGTCGCTAGCGTTCGATGGATTTATTGGGTCGCCCATTAAATCGCACACCGTTGTATAACTAATTTTTGCTGTGATGACACTACTACCACTACTTCAGCCTCAGAGCAGAGCAGAGTGGGTTGCATGCACTATACCTGGACCTTCCAGATGGAGAGGAAGTCTCGGCCGATCATATCAATAACCGCGCATTCAAATGAAAGTCCAGCTTGGCAGCACCTGGCTATTCAGCTGCTAGCGCACTGTGAGCAACGTTTTGGAATCGATTAATCACGCTGTTTGGACAGCATGAGCTCAGAGATGCAGTGGCGAAAAAGGATGTAGATACGAGAGATTAACCTAATTTCCGCATGCGAACATGAAAAACAAACTGTTATCGTGCAAAAATAAT